CTTACACAGATCCTCTCTCTCACAAACACACATACACCGACACACACACACTCTCTCAAGCACACACACACATAGGAACTCTTGTGGCACAGTGGTAGCATCCCTGCCTCCGAAATAGAACTTCTAGGTTCATGATAGCCGATGAAAGTGCATTCAGAATGTGGCCAAACAAGTTGAGAATCAATCTACAAATGTTTCCATCATATGCCTCTGGGGACTACGTCATGTAAGTATAAGTGCAGGTTGCCACAGCTTCTTGAGGAGCCAGTGCTGGACAGACAATGTAGATCAGATTCGGACCTAGTGGTTTGATCTCCACTCCTGTTGGGATGATTCGGGGCCTGATTCCTTGGAGACCATGTGCCCTGGATCGGACCTACGCTTGGTCAGAGAATTCAGAGAAATATGTTCTTAGATCCATCAATTTGCATTTGTATTGCTTTTCTCAGTTGTTTTTCTTAAGCTGCACCTCCTCATCTGAATGACTTGTTTGTTGGAAAGTTTGCCATCCAGTCCTATAGCAATCAGGCAATGGCAGGCAGCAGAGGTCATTCAAGTTAGAAAGCTATGCTCAAAATATTTGCCCAGAATTTGATTTGATAACGATGGCAAACTGTCAGCATTCACCATTATACTCCACTAAAAATGACAGCAAGCCATGAGTTTGGACACTAAATGCTGAATTTTGCAAAAATCCAGATATTGCTGTCAAGAGATTGCACTCCTACATTGGGATTTGCAGAGGTTCTCACAACTGCCATATCCTTTGCAGTCGTGAGTCTAATACTATTGGTCTCATTGTAACAAAAATAATAGGCCTTATTCATTGAAGACTAATTGGTGTTTTAACCGTAGGCTTACTTCATAATTATTGCTAAAAACCGTGACAACGTCTTCAAAACCGAATTTTAACATTTTGGAATGTAAATTTACTACAGTGATTAAAAATGTCACTTTTTAAATACAAATTACATTCTTTTTATCTTTGTCTGCTTGTCTTTATTTGAGTTTCTATCTTGATGCAGTTGTTCATTTGCTTCACTTATCTGAAAATTAAATTTATATGTATTTTATCTCTGGATTTGCTGTGTGTAAACACCTCAATTTAATCAGTTGCCTATCTGCTTGCTGACATCATTGCTGCTACATACCAAAAAATCTCCTTGATTTAGCAGCTTAAAAGGACCTAAAATGCTGTCTAGAAATAGAGAATTTTCCAACGGATATTGCTAAATCTTTGTGGGCAGCTTTCTTTGCGTTCAAGAAAGTCTCCTGCTTTGCTGCCCACTGCAAAGTCCAGGTCACCAATTTCGAGAATTCTTCAGTCCTTTTACCATAATATTTGGTTATTTTAATGAACCTCTCCATTTTTTCAAAAATCGAAATCTTCCAAAGGTACAGATTGACTTCAACTTTTTACTGCCAGCGCTTCTGCTTTATAAAACTGTGACCAACGAAAAAAAAAGCAGACTTGCCAACATCAGGTTTGTGGGTCTGTAGAGAATGCCTTTTTGACAGTTTGCAAGTTTCTAGTCATTGACCTATCTCAGTGAAGCATTCAGCTATGTTTGACAGGATGGGTTCCTTTTGCTGCAAGCAGCAAGTGTCTCATTCCTGCACGCCTTGAGATCCTTGTTACAGAGATGTAATTCCTTCTTGTATGATAAATAAAGTGCTCATCAAACAAACAAACAAGTGTTTGTGTAAATCTCCCTGAATTGCCTTTTAATAGTTTTCCCTATTTCCAGGCACAGACTAAATCGAGAAGGAGCAGCAACGATGTCATTGAGGTCTGTGCCACGTCTGCCTACACACAAATATCACTGCATTACTGTTTACATATGGAGTCAAAACAGACAAAAGGAAGGAAGAACATGAGTGGTCAAAATAGGAAATAAATCAAAACTAAAATCCTCAATTTGAAAGAGCTTTCATAACATCCAAGGCATTTCTTCTCTCAGACAGTGATCTATTAAAAAATTGACCATTATAGGGACAGTGAGGAAAGTAGAGTTAAGGCCACAATCAAATCAGCCACGATCTTATTGAATGATACAGCAGTCTTGAGGACCCAAATGGCCCAGTTCTGTTCCTTTTTTACAAGTTTTATGAAATGATGTGAATTAGACCTGACATTGAGAAAAGGTAAATAAAAACCAAAAGAACTGCGGATGCTGAAAAGCTAAAACTCATTGTTGCGTAGGTGCTTACGTTTAATTAGTGGTGATAGCAATTTTGACTTGAGTGATTGTTGCTTTGTCGTGGCAATGTGATTACTAATTCTGTTACCAAATATCTGCAAGATCCCCATCACTCCATTGCCAATGGCAACATAACTAATCTCATAACCATCCTCCTCACTTGATTGTCACTTTAGTTTTCTGTCTCTCAAGGAGTTCGCTGCTTTCTTCTCCTGGAAAAAGCAGAGAATTTTGAGTGTAAAAAATTATGATGACATGACAGAGTGACAACATTTTTGGGAGGGTGACTGTAAGGGATGGGTTAGGAATGGCACTAAGATATGGATTGAGTGTCAGTGTTGGTTGTTCAAGCAGGGATATGAAAAGGTGTTTGATGACAGAAAGTAATGCATCACTTTGCAAGTCACATTACCCTGCAAAGAGCCGTACAAGAGAATGCTGAAGAACTCAATGTGTGAAATTGGCACTTGAAAGAGGGCTTTCCTTCCCAAAAAGATCATCGAGCCCCTTGCAGTACTGAAACCAGGTTCCTGCCACTGACTAATATTAAACAAGGAACTGTGGATATGGGAAATCTTATGCAAAAACAAATTTCTGGAGAAACTCTGGGAGAAAGCAGTATTAATGCTTCAGGTCCAGTGACTCTTCGTCAGGGCCTGTTCTGAAGAACTCTGAAGGTCCTGAAACCAATGCAGAATGTAACCACTTACCTTGGTCCTTTTAAATATGAAATCCATCTACTTACTACTGCAGGTTGTGATCATAACCACATTAAATGATTAGTGTGGAAACTCCAAAGCAAAAAGTGAAAACCTTGCTCAAGCCTCATGGTAGCAATTACAACCAAGTCCAACAATTTTAGTGGGAAGGAATAGGACTTGTAATATGTGGTTCATCTGTGTTATTACAACTCAGAAAGCAAAAGACTGGACAGGATGTAGCAGAAAGCACAATGCCTGATCCAAGTGAAAAGAAGAAAAGCTGGATAAAATAATAAGGGACGATTCAGCTTTATACACGTCAAAAAGAATCAATGCATTGACATTGCATGAGAGAATACAACATATGGAGTAATATCACAGTAAAATATTAGCATAGAATACCTACAGTATGGAAACAGGCCCTTCGGCCCAACAGTCCACACCGACCCTTGGAGCATCCCACCCAGAGCCATTCCCCTATAACCCACCTAAGCTACACACCCCTGAACACTATGGACAATCCAAATAACCTGCACATCTTTGGATTGTGGGAGGAAACCAGAGGAAACCCCCGCAGACACTGGAGAATGTGCAAACTCCACACAGACAGTTGCCCAAGGGTGGAATTGAACCCAGGTCCACTGGTGCTGTGAGGCAGCAGTGCTAACCACTGTGGCACTGTGACGCCCTAAATAAGACTAAATGGCTTAAATGAAAATGAGCAAAAGGTGTATGCAAAACATATTAGAATTAATATTCACTGAGAAATATTTGAAATGGTTGACAAACATGTTAGTGGAGTCAATTGGGGTTGATCCAAACATGGTTGGACGTTACAGCTGGAAAGGAAAATGCTTGGAACATACAGGAATGGTCTTTTATTGACCTTGTATTTTCATGTTTTTATATTGAAGCTATACCAAAGAGCCAAACTGAAAAGAAAACTATATCATAAGGAAGCTTAACAAAGCAACCGAAATTTTGAGATTTTTTGAAGAGCACAAGGGTGGCATTTTCAAAGGCTTAGTGTAGAAGGATGCAAGTTTGATCCCCTATCCTATTAAGTTTCAGATGTGGCCAAAGCTAGACAGGGAGGTGATACACAGCAAGGATATGTATCTGAACTTTGGGCATTTCAAATGATGTAAAGATTCAACAGGATGCACATATGTGAAACAACTCAAGAGGGTAGAGATAGAGAAACTAATTCCTCTACTGCGATAATTCTGAACAAGAGAGCTTATCCTTAAAATTAAAGTTAGGCATTTGGGAGTGATGCAAGAATGTATTATTCATACAAAGGGCCATGAAACTTTGGGACTCGTTCCCTCAGAAAGCTGATGTCACTGGCCAAATAGTAAATTTGAAGGAAAGCTGACGTTTCGGGTCTGGACCCTTCTTCAGAAAAGAAGGGTCCAGACCTGAAACGTCAGCTTTCCTGCTCCTCTGATGCTGCTTGGCCTGCTGTGTTCATCCAGCTCTACACCTTGTTATCTCAGATTCTCCAGCATCGGCAGTTCCTACTATCTCAGAAAATTTGAAGATTAAGTTTATTTTTTTTGTTAGGCAAGGGTATCAAAAGATATGATTAAAAGATGGATAAAAAATGTTGAAGCATATGTCTGGATTAAGTTGCAGTCATGTCCTTTCTGGTCTGCATAGTGAGGCGACTTCCATCATAAGGTATTCACACTGGCAGTGAGCATTTTATTGGGATTTCAATAAAAACACTACTCTGAAAAGGTTAAGATAACAAAGTGTGGAGCTGGAAGAACACTTCTTCAGAAAGCGTCCCGACCCGAAATGTCAACTTTCCTGTTCCTCTGATGCTGCCTGGCCTGCTGTATTCCTCCAGCTCCATACTTTGTTATTTCTGACTCCAGCATCTGCAGTTCTTGCTATCTTGCTCTGAAAAGGTTACTGTCTTGGTGAGCACAGAACAACAAACATCCATCCTGATCTGATTGAATGATTTCACAAGCTTCAGTGGTTGATTAGTCAACTCCTACTCCCAAGTTCCTTAGATAACAGAAATAATATTCTTTCAAAGAATGTCTCCAAGGGGAAAACACCATTTAAGTGAAGATTCAACACTTACAGTAACAATAGGTCCATGAACTCATACAGTTGAATTCGATCCTTCACAGTGTATGTCTTTTTCCAATGCTTGATTCTATGCATAAGCTTTGCTGGAGCTACCACTCGAGAACACATCTGAAATAAGAAGATTGATGATTTGTATCTCCCATAGTGAATATCAAAAAGACTTCAGAACTACCAGTGTTATTATCAAGGGACTAGTATGTCTTATTCATTTAGGATTATTATTGAGAAATATTTCAACAGTCTGTTCATAATTCTCAGATTTTGTGAATGTCTATCTTCACTCCAGTTACAGAAAGAAATTCATTCTATAGTTAAATTGGCATTAATGACTCAACCTGTTACTTTTACGTCAGTGACATAAAATTATGAATCAGCCAACTTCAAGGCATTTGGCCAGATTCTGAAGAAATATCCCTAAGCTATCAAATAACTTATAAAAGCAGATTCTGTTCCCCTTTCTAACTCTGCTATAACTTGTTTGGTTAGTGTAATGCTGAAATAAAATGAGTACCTGTAACAATGGGATTAATCTTGACTCAAAATGTAAAATCTTGTTGTGAGACTATTTTACATCGTTCCTGATTATTATTTCCATTTATTTCACTTGATTTGTACTAGTTCACAGTGTTGAAATCCACCCCAAAGAATTAAAGCACAATTTAAGGGACGCCAGGTCAGGCAGGAATGATATTAGCATGGTGTAGAAATTGTTGCAGAGCACTTACCACATTGTTCCTATTACTCTACAGAGAACCTCCATATAATCGCATATCTTTTCTTGGGAAACAATGGTGCCGACCACACATAGTATCATCAATACTTGGAAACCAGAATCATTTTCGGGTCTCATTGAAATTATAATGTGAAATGATGGAATTTCCACTGAACATAACCCAGTAGTAAATCTGAGCAGGTTTGGTTTCTTAGAACAATTGGAAGCACCAGTGAAATCTCACAATAGGCAAACAGATCAGAGGGAACTGTCAGCTGCTTGGATTGCAAAGAGTTTCTAGATTCAAGATTGCTTCTTTCTGACATTGTCTTGTTGGAGAAAGATATTTATATTTAAGGATTATGCAAACACTTAGAAGAACCTCCAGAGCCAATGGCCTCAACAGACAAGCAGGTTTCTTCCACTCTAGCTGCGAAACTAGGGCTTGCACTGAAAGGTAGTGGGAGGGAGACAAAGAAGAAAACCTACTGAGGGCACTTTGGTGGCATGGGGCAAAGAAGGCTTTTTTGTAAATATCACTTTTATCCGTAAAGGCTCATGATGTTGACTTTCTTGTGTGTATTTGTGAATCTCTCCGTATAGGTGCTAATGCATTTTTATTCCAGCAGCAGCAACTCATGGCTACACATGGGGCTCATTGAAGCCTGTGCTGAACATCTGAAGCACAATTTGTGAGCAGGGGCAACAGTAAGGTCCTGATGAAGTGTGTAAACCCGAAACGTTGGCTTTCCTGCTTCTCAGATGCTGCCTCACCTGCTGTGTTCCTCCAGCTCCACAGTGTGTTATCTCTGACTCCAGCATCTGCAGTTCTTGCTATCTCCAAGCAGCAATATGTATATATGGCATTGGGTCATGGTGAAAGTTTTGTCTCTCCTCATTCAACATCCCAAAAGTAGCTTCCCCTGTGCGCAAAGTTGCAGCTGTCAAAGAATTGTTCAGCATTGGATGTGCCAGGGAGGGGCAACATACAAAGAGAGCCAATGCTATAGGATGGCCAGGGAGTAGGTAACCTGCTTGCTCGTATGCTTTACCTTTTATGGGCTTGTGAATAAAGTTGTTCTCCTTAATAAGACCTGTGATCAGTGTTTGCTGCATCCTCCTCCCTCACAAGTCGAGTCATTTACCCTGCCCACACCAGGTGTACCCACAGCCACATTGCACACTTTTAATTTCCAGCGTGATGGAAAGTGACAGCGAGCACTCCTGTTCCAGTAGCTTTCAGCACTGGCATGACTGTGTCAGTGAGGCCCCAGATATTCACATCCCCTTCCTAGTAGCACATTCTGTTCACACCACAGCTTCACACCTCCCCAAGTCCACATCCAACTCTTCTACACATGCCTACACCTTCTTACCCTTCCAATCCACCCCTGGTATGTTGAGGTGACAATGCCTGCTGTTGCCACACAGTTACCCTCCTCATCCCAGGATGAACGACACCCCGTCACGCATTACACCCTTCCTAGCAATGATTTACAGTGTCCCCTCCTTGCAAGTAGCATCTCAGTGCTGCCTAGCAAGAATCTCGCCACACCAGTTGTGCAAAGCATAAAATTTGGAGTGAGATAATCTCAATGTGGACTTGGGACTCATGGTTTTTGTCACTCAGTTTTGCCACACATCTCGCCTATGTTTCTCAGAACCCCTAAAGGATTCCACCCACATTGTTTTCTCTCTAGCAGCGAGTAGAGGATAGATACATAATAAAAACTGATTTCTTCTACATCAAAATTTAGTGAATGGAGAATGGTTACGTAGTACTAATTATTTGTAAAATCAATTCCAGTCACTTCCAGGAGTGCAGTGTCCATGTGTGATTGATCAGGAAATTGTCTAATCATCTCCATTCTGGCAGCCCAATCTACTAGCCACAACGTAATGGTCCCCAAAGCTAGGAGGTGAGACAGCATCTGGTTTAGGCTAGATGTGGTGCATGCCTGTGCCATGAAGCATATTGACATCAGTGAGAAAAGTTCTTGAAGCCTCCATTGGCAGAGTGTAGGAGTCTGGCTTGCAGTCAGTTATCTCTCTAACTTTCAAGCAGTTTGAATTGCTCTCAGTCCCTGGTTCTGGACACTAGATTTATTACATAGAATGTAATGAAGAGACAGTACACAGGTGTTTAGGGGCAAAAGAATCTCTGCAATTATTTGTGTACGACAAAGGTAACAACAATACAAAAAAAGGTAATTCAATAATCCAAGGAAATTAACACAATTAATATACAGGAAACAGAAGTACTTTAAAACACACAAGTAGTTAGATTACCGCTATTAGAGTCACAACTATTTACTATTACATGGAAAAGATACTGGTATTTAAATACACTGTTAATCAGTCCCAGTGCACTGATACCACCCACCTCCCACTGCTAACTATGTTGGAACTTTGGGGTCTCAGGAGTTCTGCTTACTACTCAGAACACAGTTTTGAAGTTCATCTGGCTGCTCTAGTTTGCTATACCTGGTGCATGGTTGAAGACTTTGAGCTGCGCAAACATTTCAGTTGGGTTATGTTCGCAGGTGCAGTTTATCTCCACACCAAGTCTGTAGAATCATTGTTTGGTTGATGCTCTCTTTGAAGTTAATTGGCTTTCTGATGGTTAGACAAGGTGCAAATAATCTTTAATTGATGTTGGATGTCGAAGCCTTTCACAGTATTTCTCTAGACTCCATACGGTCTAAATTTATATCCAGTTAAAGAATTGTTGAATGTTCTGGGAAAAGAATCCCAGTTTATAAGAAATAGGTAAATGCTCCTTGGAGTCTGCTGCAAGTTGTTTGCATTGACTGGGACTTCAGAATTCAAGCAAGATAGAATCCCATGTTTCTGTAATACAATGCATCATTTTAGGATTCCATTAAAACCTGGTACTCATTGTTGAAGCAGTTATTGAACTGGCAAATGACAACCTTTTTTTTTAGTTTATCCCTAGCTGATCAGCCATATATTGTTGTAGCTCGGCAATGAAGGTGTCCTGAATTGACATGCACAGGAGATAGTTAGCATCACTCAGTATTAGGACTTTAAGGGGGTGAGACAAATTTCTGTTTGAAGGATGAGGTCTTTCAGGCTGGTAGCTCATACCCACAAGTGAAGTATCAATTTATGGCACACACCTCTGTCAAAATCCAGGGAAGAGTTGCAATTTTTCTTATGTGAAGATGTCTTTTGGGGTTGTATAAAATTGTGAACTGAAATGAGAAAGAACTGTTTTAAAATCAACATTTTAAAGGATTGTTGCATGTTATGAAAAGCAAGTAACCTGACACTGATGGCAAGCATTGTTTAAATAGCAGCTTGAACAAGCAGTAATTGAAGTGGTTGCAGATGAACCGGAGCTGATTAGTTTTATGTTCAGATGGAGCTTTGGCTGGTAACAAGATGTTAATTGGTCTATGGACTAGTGATTAATTGTTCATGACATGGGGAGGCGATGGCCTAGTGGTATTATTGCTGGACTGTTAATCCAGAGACCCAGATAATGTTCTGGGGCCCTGGGTTTGAATCCCACCATGGCAGATGGTAGAATTTGAATTCAATAAATATCTTGAATTAAGAATCTGATGATGACTGTGAATTCATTGTCAATTTTCGGAAAATTCCATCTGGTTCACTAATATCCTTTAGGAAGGAAACTGCCATCCTTACTTGGTCTGACCTACATGTGACTCCAGACTCACAGCAATGTGGTTGACTCTTAACTGTCCTCTGGGCAATTAGGGATGGGTGATAAATTCTGCCTGGCCAGTGATGTCCGCATCCTGTGAATGAATAAATACAAGAATAAAGACAAAAGCCTTTTGCCTGACACATCCATGTAGTTGGTTCTTAGGTAGCTGAACAGCTCAGAGCTAGTACAAGATGGAGTGAAGTGATCAGATATCCACAAGCTCAGGAACTGTCTCTCCATTCTCTGCAGTCAAACCCCACTTTAAACCTGAAGAAACCCATTTTAGCTGTCCTTCAGCAGCTGCTGTATGTTGTGGTTTTTTAAATGATATATCACATACATATTTTTATAAGTGAAACAGTCACCATGTACATCTGGCAAACCAGTGGAAGTATTTGGAGAAAGTAAGCTGAGGAGAAACCTTCTGATCAGCAAGAACAAACTCAACAAATCTTTTAAACGAAGACTACTGAACTGATTTCCCAGTTCTCTTTCCATTCACTTTTTTTTGTTTCTCCTATTTATGTCTGTGCGTATATGTATGTAAGTAAGGGTAGTTTATGAGGGGATTATAGTTTTAATTTGTAGAGTTAATTGCCAATGGTTTATAACTGTTTACCTGTAACTAGAGACTAATACTTGTAATAAATAAACTGGAACTCTTTCCCGAACAGCATTGTAGGTCTGGGGAGAGATAGTAGG